AATTATAACATTTACCAGAATATATTATATGTTGGTAAATATAATTTTGCTTATCCATCCGATTTTCATCGATAATGCTTAAATTCCATGTGTATAAATCAACTCACACAAGTGTTTATCGTATCGACTATACGCATACAGTTTTAAATTATCACGGGTTTCATGAGCGCCGAATACAACGCTATGCAGAATTTAAATGGGTATAAGGAAAGGCTTATAATGTGAAGAAAATGTAAATATACATTAAGTAATGGATATATGCCGAATACTGTTCTATATGTTAAATTATCAGACTGTTTGAGGCCCGTCAGGGCTGAAAACTGTCTGATAATTTTACATATAGAATAGTATGAGGCATATATCTTACTTAAAACATTGCCATTTAAATGTCCAAAAGTTACCTGAAGGAGTCCGACAATAACACAATAGGAGTTTAGGCATCCATTGTTTTCTACCCGTCTGATAAGTAGATAAAAGAGACGACACAGTAAAAAAGTGAGTGAACTGTTGTTTCATTTGATCCATTCAATGGCAGTCGTTCAGGTTCAGTTTAGCAGGACAGGGGTCCGGTGGTGAAGGATTTTTTTTTTTGGGGGGGGGGGGGGGGGCATTTTTATTTATGATGTGCATAAATTGACATTGATACTGACATAATTTTGGTAGATATTATAACCATCACCCTGGAAAGTAAAAATGCGGATTTTTACCCTGAAGTTTCAGTTTAGATAATGGAAATATTCTCAGGTTTTAAAAGTGTGGCCATCGGGGAACAAACATAAAATAAGCAGATTTGCAGACTCTTTTTCAGAAATGGATTTAAATTCGTTTATTCAAAGTGCTGTATCAAAAATTCTTTTAAAGAGTGGAAATTATTAATGTTATGGAATGTTTAAACTCGGATTTTTTTTCATGGATTTGCTATTTTGTAGCAACTTAAATTCCTTGCGTTTGCTTTCCCTGAATTTTTTCCTAACATTTTTATTGGGGGTTTCTGGACATATTAAACCTCTATTTTACTCTTCTTTTTGTTTTTTAAACACCGTCCGATTTTGTTATCATTGCCGTCCGATAATATATTATCAGACTGGTAATTATTATTATCGGACGGCTACAGGTAAATTTTTAGACTGCAAGAACAAAGGCATGACGTCACAGCAATGTTTTCATGCGTTTTATCCCAATATCTTACCTCGCATATCAGAAAAAGCATGGACCATTTTGTTTAAAAAAAACGCTAAAAAAATAATAATGACTGATATCTTTTCGATAAGATTTTTTATGTCAGGCTATAAAAACTGAAAATTTTCCGAATTTATATCAATTTTTTAACGTACGTTAAACTTTTTGGATTGCTACCTCCTAGTGACAGATTTTTTTATCCCATTTAAAACGTATTCAAAGCTTTCAAGTCGTGTTTGTTCACGGTAGAATTGTCATAAATATTATTTTATTTCCAAATGCGCTTTAAGTTTACAAAAAGTTTGTTCTAAAAAAATCTTTTTAGCAAAAAACTTAATAACCACGTGTTATATTTATTTTCTGATGGGTTTGTCTAAATGCTGTTATCTGATTGGTCAGAAGGACTAGCGCCTTGTTTATTATTTGTATTTATAGGTATTCAGTGCAGGGATGGGGTAATTGAATAAAGTAATTGTAATTGAGTGTAATTAATTACACTTTTCAAAGTAATTGGAAGTAATTTGTATTTGAGCAAGCCTTCAATTACAAGTAATTGAATGTATTTAGATACATTTCAAAAAAGGTCATGTATTTTCAATTACTTTTCAATTACATTTCAATTACTTTTTTTTCAAAATGAAAGTTTTTATTTTTAAAAAATGTCTTATACACAGTTCTATATTGGTGGGTTAAACCGTTTATAGTACTTATTCCCATGTTTTATAAATCTCAGTTCTCCCTATTCCCATTTGCAAATTACAATGATTGTTTAGATAGTAAATTTGTTTGACAGCAATTAGACTAACCACATCCCCTTTTAGATTAACCTGTATTCTATTCGCTTCAAAATAGAATAAAATGAATGGATTTTTGATAAATTAATTATTTATTTCCTTCAAAAATATGAATTTGAAAAAGTAACAAAAAAATCTTACCATAAACCATACTGTTGTAGCATGGGCTTGTGTTTGTACAATAATTTATTGTCTCATAATGTTTAATTTGTTTATACAATTTGTCACATTCATTATAAGGTAATGGTCTAATTTTGACAAGGTGTGAACCCCATATCATACCCCAAAACACTGAATCATTCAGTCTGAATGAAAGTTCAAATTCAATCGCTATAGAAAAATCGTTTTAAGGAAAATCTTTATTATTTTTTTTATAAAAATAAAACTCAAGTAATTGAAATGTATTTAATTACATTTGTCAAAGTAATTGAAAGTAATTAATTACATTTGAAAAAATCAATGTAATTGTAATTGCAAGTAATTGACAAAATTATCAATGTATTTGAAAGTAATTAATTACATTTCAAAGTAATTGACCCCAAGCCTGGTATTCACGGTTATCGCTCTTGACTTCCATTTTTAGAATCGTCCAGACCTGTTTAATACCTCTATCTAATCGAAATTTAATTCTGAATTTTTGTCTCAAAAAAAAAAAAAATAATAAGCCTACCTACCTACCCACACCTAAAATGATGAGGCGCGTTACAGCAAAAAAAATTTTTTTTTAAGGATGGCCCAACAAATTGATTGAGGATAAAGGGATCTCAACTACCTTGTTTTAAGTCAGCATTTCGAAATTAAATGATCAGTGAAATTGCCTTGTTTGCAAATACAATCTTATATATTATATATAATAACTAATATGTTTCGTACAACTGTAAGGCCATTTCTTACATATCGAATTACTCCACTGACCTGAACAATACAGAGAATTCATGCCGAGTTGTCAGGGTATTTCAAAGGCACCTGTCCTAAATCTATCATTCCATTTTGGTTTATGTCCTGTTCTCCAATTTGTATTGATTGAAAGGGTTTAAGGATCATCTACTGTTATTCTTAATTTGAATTTGCCGAACGCGTAGGAATACATCATGTGAAAAATTAATTCCTAGAGCTGAAACGTTAACAGAAATTTAATAACCAAACATTAAACATAAAATATCTAACTTTGAATTTACAGTATATGAAATAAACAAGTAATTAACTAAGATATGTTGTTTTTTTTTTGCATTTAAAAAATGTTTCATATGACGTATGACACTGTTTACAGCGTTAGGAGAGTTAAAGTGAAAGTGACAGTCTTTGAAGACATAGCGTGCTCCAAATCCCGACAAATTAATGGATTCCCTGCTTAATTGGAGACTTTGATTGCTGACTGACTGTGTTTGAGTGGACGAAATCAGGCTTGGATGTAAGCATGTTTGTTTTTTTCTCCGCTTGCTACATTAATTACTACATATAAGAACATAGCTGATGACACGTTTTTGTTCTGTACTCTGGCGACGGCAGTATGACTTCAGTGATTTCTCCCTCTTGTGATCTGACATAAACATTATATGCCTGTCGGTTAGACCAGCATTTCTCATTGCTGTGATCGAAGATAAACAGAGAGAATTTGCCGTGAATCTTGTGGTCCCAGTGTTCTTGTAAATATCTAGCATGAATGTTGTGAATTTTTTGGGCTTAACTGGGGTGACTGTATACCATACTGAAAAGGATTGAAGTTATTCTCCACGTAAAGCATCTCGTGCACAATCATTAACTCTTTGCCCCTTGCGCTGACTGTGACGTAATAATAGCATTACATTTGTTAACATTCGATGACGTTATCCCTGTCCTCGCAGAGCACTTGCGATTACGTACTGAAAAAAACGTATTTCCACATGTAGAGTTTTATGGTATTTATGTAGCGCTTTTTATTATAAATTAGAAAGCGTATTATTGTATATCATTTACGTAATTTGCACATCCATCTGTAAGTTGAATTTTAAAATATTTAAATAGTCATTTTATCCTATTTATTTATTTTTTTGTGGGATATTATACATTTTAAATAAGCACAGTGTATCATAGCTTTGTAAATCAAAAATAATTAATAAGTTCATCAAATATAAAACAATTTTCAAAATAGTTGTTGGGTTCCATTTCCGTTCTGTTATTGAAGACAGAAACAAACCTATATGTATTATTATACCTCTTACCCCCCTTTTTTTAAATTCTTCGGTCACATGTACATATACACTATATGTAGCCGCAGAACTATAGCGTTATCGTTTTTTTTTTTTATTTTAGTTTTTGAACATAATATTGGCGGAATTTCTTTTAGTATAGTGTATGCTTTATTAACTGTGAATACCGATATTCTATTTTCCACAGTACATGTATGTATAAACATACTGCAATCAATCATCTCTCAGTATATCCTATTTGTTTTATCCAATCAGATGTTTTACAATTTAATTTTTTTTTAATTTATAAAAAATCATCGTAACTAATTCCTTTTTCATGAAATTATCCGTACGTTCGATGTATAAAACTTCCTTGGCAATCTGCGCGGTAAATCTTTGTACTTAAAATGCATCTAATCTAGTTTTTCGTTTTTACATTTATATTTACAGCAGAAGGATTTTTTTGGCCATATACGCAGAAAAACAAACGTTTCCATATTTGACGATTAATTTTAATCGTTGCAATTCCTACTGTAATTTTATTCGAAGAATTACAATAAATGTATAATTGTTTTTCAAATTAATATGTGGGAAACTTGTTTAAAATTGACACAAGTTGAAAACATTTTTAGACCATTAAAATTATTTATCAATACATTGAATCTAAGGTACAGAATATAAAGGATTGTGAACACACTATATAAATGAAATATATTCACAAATCGCATGATATCAGTCACATTTCATTAAAAAAATGTGTCATTTTAATTTTGAATATTGCCACACAATCCGATAACTAGGGTTCTATACAGCACATATCCACCCAACCCAATAACTGTATTCATTTGAACACTTTGAGTTATTCCTCTATCGATAAGAACCCATGAAACAATGAGAAACATTGTTTTCCGCACAAATGGGTATCGCAAAGACTGCAACCATATGCAGTATCCTTCCTTTTTCTTGGTGTCGACTTTGAGCATTGTTTGCAATAGGATCTTTTCTTCACTAGTTTTGAGAAACTGTGACATGTCGGCGTGTTTAAGGTGCGTCTCCCTGCTGCCCTTAGTGGTGTCCTGAAAGATCCAATCAAATGCTGAGCTAGCGAGATTCTAAAGTCCAGCTGTCGGTATTTCTTCTTAGGAAGCTGGGGTCGACTTTCTTTCATAAGAATATAGGCATTAATGATAGCAGTGTTGATAAGAAAGTGAAGTACATATTTCCACCACTTTTTGCTTGCCCTGCCGACTGGATATTTCGAACGCAATTGATCAAATAAATCAACTCCCCTAAAATATGATTGATAATGCCCGATACTTTGTGGTCTGGGGACGGATACAGCTGTACCATCTTTCAGTCGCCTGGATACATTAGTAGCCATCTCAAGCGGCGATGTCATTGTTGACAAAACTGACACGGGTCGGTTATCCATCCACACAGTAGCTGTTAATTGGCCATCTTGTCTGTAACAAGAAAGAATTTACTTATTAGTCACATATTTCACAATCGTTACGTGTAAAAAGGCAATATTTATAAATCAGGCCCAAAACTGCATTTCAGTGTAGTTTCAGATATATACCGTGTTACGTAATCTCCTTGGAACTTTGGCGTCACTGACTTCAGGTCGCTAGGGAATCCCTTTCTATTCCTCACAATAGTTCCACAACAGAAGATCTTTCTGGCGAGTAGACCCTTCGCTAGTTCAACGGAAGTAAAAAAGCTGTCAAAGAAAACGTGATGGTTTTTGCCCTGTAATTCCTCCGTAAGTTTAAAGACTACTGTCTGGCCAACAGGAACACCCTTGTATTGGTCCCTTCCGAGATACAGGTCAAGCTGATGGCAAAATCCAGACAAACTGTCGCACCGGAGCCAAACCTTTAATCCCCATTTAGTGGGTTTAGAGGGTATATACTGTTTGGCCTATAAATGAAGATAGCAAGATATTCTATGCACATTATAAATTGGAGACAAAGAAAAAACGCATCGTTCAAAAAAATCAACATGAGAAAGGGGAAGCACTCATTTCATAAAACTCATATTCTTAAATCAGGGAAAGGAAGGGGGGTTAAACCATTTTGTAACAAAAATAGTTTCAGGTACATCAATAAATGAAGAAGTTATGCTTTACTACCTTATGTCTTCCTTTATATGCTATCATGCCTTCATCTATGGTTTGCTGTTTCCGGGGGTTGTAGGATTCAGACATGTTTTTTGAAACAATATCCAGAATAGGGCGAATTTTATAAAGCGTATCCTCCGTGTTCTCTGCGCTGCAGTGCAAATACTGAGTTATTTTTTCGTAACGTTTTAAGGGCATTACTTCCTGGAAGCCAGCATTCCTTAAAAATTTATTATGACTCCAGTACAACTTGTAATCGGGAATCTTGTTTATACCCATCATGATCAGAATCCCAATATATGCCTGCATCTCATTATATGTACATTCATACCACAAAGAATCACGACCTACATTGAAAAAATAGAATGAACCTTTTAATGATTTAATCTAGGGATGTGAATTTACATGTATATGTTCAACTTGAAATAGAATTAATAAATTTATTGAAGTGCAATATTTGCCTGCATTAATTTTATACAGGGTGGCACCATTTCAATACATAAAAATATTGTCGAAATAACGCGCAACTATTTCATAGTGTTTTGCAGGAAATAGTATTAGTTCACCCCCCCCCCCTTATTTCACCAGTAGTTTTAAGAATTTTAACCTTTCACCTAATATATTTATTACTGACTACCTGGCAAATGTGTGATAAGCTTCAGTACTAGTGTAAATAAAATTAATATTGATACAGTGCAAATTGGAGGACCCCCCCTCCAAAAAAGTGGCACTACAATGTGAGTTGATATTAACTTCGATTCAGTATTATTTTTAAAATTGTTTATATTATGTATTCATTTCATTTTCAGTCAAAATGAGATGTAGTAGAGATGTTTTACAATTTTTTTAATCGTATGCATTAAATAAATAAAAAGAACTGCATGCCTTTCATACATTTTTGATAAATAAAAAGTTTTTAGCACACGGGCATTTTTCAAGGATATAGTAGTATATATAAAATTTTAAAAACACATGTTTATATGTTTACGTGTTAACTTTAAGTAAGTATAGTTCCGTTTTATTAACTAATTCTGTGATTTAAACCATAATTTGTATCTAGCTTGAGCAGCTTCTACGATTTATTTGTTTAAAATAATAATATAAAATACAATGCATTATATACACACACTGTATAGGTATACAATATAATTATAATAGGTCTTTATCTATTTATTTATTTTTACCTTCATTATATTACGGTATATGTTGTAAGTCATATTTGTCATTTTCTAAACTGATAAGCTATATTGCCCAAAGTTATATATTTTGAATAAATAAACTTATGCACAAGTTGCAGATTTTTAAATGAAAAAAGGTTGTTCAATATCAGCATGCGTGTTTAATTCTCAATAACTTTTTATAAAACACTTGATTCGTATGAAGTGTTATAAAATTTTACGGAATTTAATATTATGTCTGCCTTAGCTCTATTCTTTTACTATCATGTCAATTTTCCTTGATAAATATTACAATCATATTTACATGACATTATATATACTTATATCATATATAGCTGTAATTAATAGCAAACCTTTTCTTTGTTGTTCCTCTAGGGCATATTTGTTAGTGCTTGTTACTAATGTAGAAATACAATCTGAATCAAAAATATTTTCGAAAAAATCTTTTTCTGTCTCACAACATTGCACTTTCTCCGTTGGCCCCGTAGTACATACAAAGGGCGGTACATCAATATCTTGTAAGATGGAAGTCCATTTTGGTGTCATTCCTTGTTCATCATTAGATTCCGTATCGGTTAGATCTAGGTCCGAATCAGAGAGGCTCGATAACGAAAGATTTTCAGAGCTTAAATCACTTAAACTACTGTGACAGTCACTGTCATCATCAAACAAATCAGAGGAAAAATCCGTCATTTTTGATTGTGGCAAGTTTCCATTTTAGCAGTTGTAAACCCGAACTCTGACACAAATAATTACGTATATTCTTATTATGACGTCATTAAGTTTAATTATCTGATTTCCCGGTAAAATTTCTATGTTCATATATACAAATATACATGACTGTGCCTCATTGTAGAACAAAAAACTGTAAGTGCGTTAAAATGCGTGATTGCGGGGCAAAGGTATATGCGTTAAAATGCGTGATTGCGGGGCAACGGTATATGCGTTAAAATGCGTGATTGCGGGGATGGGGGTTAAAGAGTGACATGGCTGCTGGATCTGTTTTAATGAACTTTCTTAGGGATTCAACTGGACTTATGTTTAACGTATTCATTATTGTCTATTTTTTACCATCTCACTGTATTTCTAGCTATGACCATTTCCTTTGTTGTTCCTCCCCAGTCTGTTGCTGCTACTGGATCCTGATCATGATCTACAGCTTGAGCGTTTTAATTTGGCAGCCATAGCGTTGAGCAGTTGTCCGAGTCTAATTTGGCCCTGCCAATGCTGCATGACTGTATGCGATGTTCCAGTTCAGTCCACTACCCCATTGCTCGTCCCATGTAGATTCAACCATGAGTGCAAGGATGTCTGTTTTCGAGCCTTTTTTAAAGAATCCCTAAATTGAAAGCACTGTTAAAGTTTTGCCTTCAGAATTCCGTTCACAACTGAAACATTAGATGAAAGCCGTGCATCTGATTAAAAAACTTGGTCTCCTATGCGCTTCGCTTTTAAGGCACTTAGTACTTTACACCCGACATCTGCACGGCTAAGGTCTCCCGATCGTAAAGACTTAATGCGCTGATAGGCATGTTCCACTGATCGGTACGATTGCTGAAAAACATTGATTTCGGTAGGAAAGAAGTTGGACAAATAGTTTTCCTCACCAGAAAGCACACTATATTCTTTCGATTTGTAACATAGGCTTAACACTGGTCAGATCCCAGAAATTGACCAGGCTGTTCACAAATCCTTCAACACTGCTCGAATTTGCAATTGCTCCTGAAGTGATCATCCGCCCAGCAATTGGTGCATTTTTTTCTTTTTTTCACGGACAGGATGACCTTTGTGAGAAATGGTACAGCGTAATCCTGCGCATGTAGTAGAGCGTGGTAGAAACTTTCTATTATCTAGTGGTGACATATATGCAAAATGATATCCGTTTAAAATTTCAGTCATTCTGTGAGTTTAAGGATTTGTAATTTTCTCAAATTTGATGTCGCTGGTAAACTTGGCACCAAGGCTCTAATGCATGTTAACTAGAACTGTCCAATAGGGACAAATACCCCCGCTGGGTTTTTCAGAGTACTGGTGCCAATTCAGAAATATTTTATGGATCTAGTAAGAGGTTTTCACTATTGTCTAAATAAAGTGCCTCGCCACAGCATGATAGGCCCATCAAATATTGTTCGATAATCATAAATTGGTTAGGGTGCAAGAAAATTAAGTAACCTTGATTAACAGATTGACACAGATTTCAATGATCTAATTTCCATTTCATATCATGTTTAAAATATTGTACATACATCTCTAAGAGACTTACAGTGTAGGGATTAATTAAAACAAATAATACATCATATAATTCTAAACTGGCTGTGTTAGAGCAGGGTTCGACACTAACGGTAGCCCGCTGGCCCGGGACAACTGAATATTGAGGTCGGGCTACCAAACATGCCTTTACACTTGTCCTGCAGGGCTACTAAGAATTTTACTAAGTACTCACTCAGAGCAACAAATATAATTATCAATTACACATAATGTATCTAATAATTATTAAAACTATTTTCAAACATGTTTTATCATCATAATTATTATTTTTGTATGTCAAAATTGTAAAATTTAAAGGTGATTCGAAATACCCTAAATGATTATATATGTGTACTTCTTCGAATAGAAAAATGTCTAAGGTACAATCATAGGGTGACATATAATTTTTACCCAAAATACAGCCAGAATGCAGGATTTGGCATCTTTATTTTCAAAATTTCCCGGGGGAGGCCCCCCGTACCCCCACCAGCAGGAGGGGGAAACCCCCTCCCGCACCTACCCCCCTCGTCGCTTCGCGACTCGGCCACCAGCCTTCGGCTGCTGGACAACTAATATATGAACAGGGCTAGTAGAAATTAGAAATGGCTAGCCCTGCTGACAACTATGGTTTAAAAGTTAGTGTCGATCCCTGTAGAGCTTAACAAATATCCATCTGCAGCTTTAAATTGTTTATTGCATATTTTATGAAATAATGGAAATGCTACAGTCTAATAAAAAAAAATGAAAAATTAATTATTCTTTAGACAATTAAATTCTAAGTGAGACATGACTGCAATTTGTTGCAAATATATAAAAATTGAAATGTAATTTTTTTTTTAATGAACACATGTATAATTAATTTTAATTATATTATACAATACTAATTCAGTTTTAATCAAACACTAAAACATCAATTTGTTTTAATTACATTACACCAATTGAAAGATCTTTATCTGAACTACAGCCATCAAGAACTCTTAATTAACACAAGCAACTATAAGGCCATTTCTTTTTGCCCAACTCCCAAGAGTAAAATTAAGATAAGATCTAGAGATCTCTTGCCAGTTAACTCCCGACAATGAACTCATTAATTTCTCTCTAATTTGACATGCACATTTCTGCTATCAAAAATTCTCCTTGACCAGTGCTTGATAATTATGCCCATGGGACAAACTGAATTCCTCTCAAATCATTAACATTTGTTATAGAATTTGCTGTAAAGTATATGATAAAAAATAAGTTTTTTCTTAATTTAGCATTTTTTAATAAGGATACAACTATATTTTTACATTTTTTAGGATTATGAAATTTAAAATTTTAAAGACTTAGTTTTTTTTAAAAATTCACTTAAATTAAAGGTCACAGTGACCTTGAAATAGGTCGTAACACACCGTCTACCCAAGATGCATAAATTGTCCAAGTTTGATGATTGTAAGTCTAATAGTTTTCTAGTTATGAGCCAAACAAAATCACAAAATAAAAAAGAAAAAACGCCTGTAAAATGCAAAAAAATCATCCAATTATGATGAAAATCCCAGGTGCACACCTTCATATGGTGAGTAATAAGTGTATAAATTTTCAGACAAATCCATCCAACAGTTTCTGAGAAACGGTCCGGACAAAATCTTGTCTACAGACAGACGGACAGACGGACGGACGGACAGACGGACAAGGTGATTCCAATATACCCCCCTAAACTTCGTTTGCGGGGGTATAATAATGCAGATATCTTCTACAGAAAGGGGAACTCCCTTCACCAGGACATGAACAACACTTTAATCCTGAGATTCCATCCCAGCGGAGTATGGATTTGTCTCTAACACCTGAACAGTTCTGCTTCCGAGTGTAAATCCATCCTGTATTAGTGTAGCTCTACTATCCCCAGATTTGCACGCACATTACATCAGAAACTACGGTGCCTGCAGCCTAGCTCTGCTAAATAATACTTGGAGAATATTTTGTCCTTACTTGTTTGAATGTCCCTGTTTCTCAAAAATACAGATTTAAGAGTTTGAATCTTACCCTGTTTGCTGTTTTTAAAACCATTAATCACTAACTAGGCAAACCAGGTTGACTAGGCAGTTCAAAAGATCGTGAACACCTACTTACAGGCAGTGCTCACAGGTAATACAGGACGATAGGTTTAAACTCGAAGAAGAAAGAAACACAAAGCAAATAAATCCAAAGAAACGAGAAAAAGTTCAGGAAACGTATATCCAGAATCTATACAATATATATACATTAACACACATAAAAATAGAATCTTTGCCGCAAAGACTCCGAAAAATGGTCAAAAGGACGGAGCTTAAGAAAGCAAGTCTGTACTATAGTCCATCACGTCACCTGACGGATAAGTAAATACACAGAAAGTTTTGATAATATATAGATTGTGTTGTGAGGTGTGTTGTATTTGTATTGTTTCATCGTGTCTATTATTAGTAACATTAAGTTTCTTGAACATTCCAGAGTGGTCAATATGTTTGGTCATTTTTTTCTAGAACATTCTTGAACTTTATTCATGTCCAGAACTTTCCAGGGATATCATGTGCTTACAATTTCTAGAATATTCTAGATTTATATTACTATATAAATACCCTGTCAATTCGATGTATGTATACAATTGTCGTAGAAGCATCATTGAGGTATTACTGGGATATTATTTCACTGGGACATTGTGTGCAGCAACGGACACTCTGATGTATGTATTTTTAGATTTTTGCTAAGTTTGTACTTAAGATTTGTATATTACTGTAAATAAATTATTGTTAAGTTTAAACTGTGTGATTGATCTTTGCTGGCATTTAGGGTTATTCTGACCCATAACAGAATTGGGGGCTCGTCCGGGATCAAGAATTTTTTTGCACTTTTGCAGTTTATTGTCAAAATTTTGTTTATTGAACCATTAAATTTGATTATAAGCCAGCAGAAATCAACATGGTGTTTTCGGTCACAGACTTTCTAAGTTCACCAAGTGTTCAGGTTTTTGATTCGTTAAAAAAGGATGACTTGATAGCATTAGGTATGCATTTTGGGTTAGAAGTTAAATCCTCACAGAGAAAGCAAGACATTAGAATTAAGGTTGCAAACAAACTTGTAGATGAAAACATCTTTGAAAAATACGAACTTCCGGAATATACAGTTAGATCAGAGTTAGGCTCTTATAAAATGGCAGACTATCAGTTTCAATTAGAGTTAGAGAAAATGCGATTAGAAAGAGAAAAATTAGAAAGAGAAGATCGAGAAAGAGAAAGGGAAGAACGAAAAAGAGAAAGAGAAGAACGAGAGCGTGAACGGAAATTTGAATTAGACAAATTAGAAAGACAAGAGCACTTTGAGTTAGAGAAATTAAGATTACAGCAGAATTCAGAACCCTCATTTGTCAAGAATGAATTTGATGCAGCAAAAAATATTAGGTTAGTTCCGAAATTTCAAGAAAAATCTGTAGA